GGGGGGGTTGGGATAGTGGGAGGGGTTGGGGGGGCTCATGGCAGAGCCCCCCCATGCAGTGTGGGGCAGTGAGGATTGCTGCCCTGTCTGGCAGCAGCCAGTGCCTGGGGGCTTTTGTTTTCCCCAAAGGGCTGGGGTGGGCAGGGCAGCCATTGCTGGGCTGGGAGATTGGGCAGGGGAATGGGCCTGGGTGATTCAGCTGATTTGGCAGCAGCCGAATCTCTGAATTAGATTCAGCCGAATCGATTCGGGACAGTGATCTGAATCACCTAATTAAATCACTGTCCCCTGAATCAGCCGAATCTGAATCTGAAGCAAATACTACTCCCTTTGCACAAGCCTAAGATCCACACAAAGCACCACTGAAATCAGGTTCAGGGATTCATCCAAAATCAGGGGCCTTATGTTGTTAGTTCTTTAGGACAGAGATGGTCTCTTACGTGGTGCTTTTACAGAAGAACAGAGCTGCCAAACCAAAGAAGACCTTTGCAACTACTGTAAGTAGGAGTAAGGGTAGCTATAAAATCTGTTCTGAAATGGAAGTTGTCAAGTTGTAGTTGGTCAATTTTATAAGAGGTGTGAAGCAGACCTGACCCTCCCATTTTGTCTTGGTACATTTTATTTTCATTTTTTTCTCTCTGTTGTACAGCGTTTCTCAACCTGTGGGTTGCGACCAAAAGCGAGAGACAATAATATATGAAAGGGTCGCGAACAAACTTTAAACAAGGATTCTCCTTTAAGAGAAAAACATAGGAAACTGCAGCTGTTCCCTTGCAGGTTGGCAGAGTTCCAGCCTGTGAGGGGCTGCTTGGGCCCCCTTGGCCTACGCACAGCCACCCTGCCCCAGACACCCACTCCCTGCCCCATACACTGGGGGCTAGAGGCAGTGGGTTGGGAGTGAGAGGCACTGGGTTGGCATTGACCATTGATGTTTACAAATGGGTCCGGGTCCAAAAACGGTCGAGAACCACAGGTATAGAAGACTCTCAGCAAGCTACAGGTTGGTCCTAGTTCGCATAGGAGCCCAGGCAGACGCCCATATCCTCCAACTGCACTGTTATTTCATTTTCTTGTTTATCCAGAGAGGACAGGGAGAGAGCGCTCCACTACAATACTAGCCCCAGCTTCCCTATCTAGCTCTTGCACTGATTTTGGCTGGACTCGAGGACTCCTGATTCTTGCTAAGCATGTAGAGTTCACTGTCCTCTGCCTCTGCTACTTTGAGGGGTTCTTGTGGTGAGATCCCCCACAGGTATAGCTTGTGTTAGCTTCCAGAGAAACTCCAAAGAGATACTGGAAATCCTGCTGCCAACCTGCTCCCCTGTTCATGCAGGGGATTTCCCAGTACTTCTCAAGCCTGTTCCACTTGCTGTCTTAGTCTCAGCAAATGAAGTTCCCTCCAACCCCTGCCTGGATGTCTTCTCCCAGGCCTCCAAAATAGATGTGTCATGCAGCTGTACACATGTGGCCATGTCTATGCTAAAGAAATTCACACTGATGTAATTACAGCAATGTAGCACAAACCCTTAATACATACAAGAGCAGCAAGCAAGAAAAATACAGGCTCAAGAAGCTAATTTTGCTGTGTTATTCAATTAAACTGAACCAGTGTAAGTGCCATGTTGTACCAGTGCAGTAAGTCTATAATTAAGGGTTTACAGTGATGCAGCTTTACTAATGTAGCTATACCAATGCATATTTCTCTAAAATAGGCAGAGTCTGAGTGGGTGGAAGTCTGCCTTCCTCTCCCTGGCCAGCTGGTCCTCATCGTTCACATCTCTATTTCTTCCTCCCTCCCTGGCTTTTGTCTCTGAATCTAAGAGCAGAGTAGCAAGCTCCTACCCAGCTGCTTTCCTTCTTGCACAGAAGTGCCCTTTTATGTTCTGTTTGTACAGTGCCCAGCACAATTCAGTTGAGCTTCAGTTGATTTCACAGTAATACAAATAAATAATGACAACATGTCCTGCTGCTGCTCCTCAGTCTTATTATAGGGTTCATTCTGTGCATCTAGACGTTCATTAATGCACAGTAGTTATTGTGCATTTAGTTTAGTACTTGCTTAATGAAGTACTAACAATGCACAGTACCTACAATTACTATGCAGTAGCGCAAGTGCACGTTTTTTTTTAATGACACTGCAGTAGCTTAATACTACTGTGCAGTAGCATATTAACACAGTTTTTGCCTGGCACACTACTGCACAATGTTATTAGGCTACTGTGTATTAAGCGTTTCACATAGACGCGCCCATCATGGAGCAAAAAGATTTCCTTGAATCTTCTAACAAGTTCATAAAGCTGCGTGCTCTTCCCTGGGGCCTGGAGAGTAAGGAGGAACTCTTTTAATTCCCTGCCAAATGTCCTGTGCTTTAATACCAGCGTCTGTGGAGTGAAGGAACTTTCTCCACTATCCTCTCATTATTCCCCGGCTTTATTAAAACATCCTGTGAAATAAGGAGACACCCTTCT